CCTACACAAAACCTTAACCTATAAAGCCTAACATTCACCAAATTCTCTTCAAAGTTCTTTACTTTTGAAAGTAGTCACTACCCACTGATACCAAACCACCTATTTGACAAATTTCCCTAACCATTCCCATATCACCAGATTCACCACGTCAAGCAGTGTGGACATCTAACAAACATGACAATTTATGCTTGAATATACAATATGTGATTGAAGAATCTTCTACTCTGATGAAAAAATTTGATATTGAACTGTACATTAGGAACACTTGATAATTTAATACAATTAATTGTTTAGAGTTTTTTGCATTAACTTATGCTTTAAAATTAATTTGTTTTCTTTCCTAACTACAAGTTTATTACTCATACAAAACAAAAACATGTTATTAAAATAAAAATTTAAAAATAAAGGACACCCATTAAGCCTCAGAATTCTATTTTTCCAAAGTTTTGGAGTCTGCTAGTGCCATATTCTTTCCACAAGTATCCACATTATTCCAATGGTAAAATGGGGTAAACTAGTAAATATCCTTAAGAGGTCTATAATGAAGCATATAGTTGAAGAAACAAAAGGTAAATTAGTATTTTCATATGGTAAATTGGTAATTAATAAGTAACTCCCTTTTTATTTAGACAAAAAGGGAAACAATTCATAATAGGGTCATCAAGCTTTTTTTTTTTTTGATAAGTAGGGTCACCAAGCAAATTATAACCCCATCTTTTGAAGGAAGAAACTAAGGCTTTATTTTCTTGCTCGAATTGTAAGTTATGATGAAGAACTGAGAAAGAAGTACGATGAAAATAAGGTAGAGGAACAGCAAGTATGCTTATCCCCATGGTTCTCTAAATCTCATCATCTCTCTCTTTCATCTCAATTCTTAGTAGTGGGATTTGTTGTTCCTTTCCTTGGGCATAAATTTATTGTTTTGACAAGAATGTCATCCCAAATATCATAAACTAGATTACAAAGAAGCCCGATTAAATGCTGCCTTCCAGCCCCTTGTTTAGCTAGGGAGTCAGCTAACCCATTAGCACTCCTTATCCACTTGAATTCAGCATTTAAATCCTTTCAACTTCTCTGGAGACATGTTTGAGAGTCCATGGGATATGTCTATTACATCTCACCCATGTGATAATTACTTTTGAATCCCCCTCCACCTCCACCTATCTAAAGCCTAGTGGCTTTGCCAACTGAAAACCCTGCAACAATGCGAATAGTTCAGCCTTCAAGGAGTTTGCAGTACCAATTGGCCTTGAATATAATTCCAGGATCCTGCTCTCTAAATTTCTGATTGTTCCACCTATTCCTGCCATGCTTGGGTTTATCCAAGGAGCTCCCATCAAAGTAGTTTCACTTTTCTGCTTTCTAGGGGTTCCCATTCCACTTATTCTTTCTTTTTCTCTAGAAGACTGTACTACCTCCTTCCATGCCCTTAGAATGTCAGTAACAGAAATTTTGAAAGCAGTCCAGTGTTTTAACCCATAGTGCAACCTTCACTTTTATACTATCTATTACCTCCTCCAATGTCCTACTTTTTCTATCAAATATTTTGCTATTCCTCTTTTCCCGCACCACCCAAGTAACTGCTGCCTTAGTAGCTCTCCACATTGTTCTCCCTCTTTTCTTTGGTTGCCTCAAGAAGTTTGGGTTGAAGATGTCCACCACATCTTGAGGGGGGTCCCACCTGCATCCAAAAAGAGAACTGAAAAATTCTCAAATATGAAATACAAAGGAACAGGAGATTAGTAAATGGAGAGGGTCTCTCCACTACCCCTACATAAAAAGCAGATATGAGGATTGAGGAGAAAGGCAAGAAGAGGGCCTCCTTTTCTACAGCACATCACATGTATTTACCTTTCCAAGGAAAATTTCCTAGTAGAAAGCTTGAATTTTTGGTGGTACAGGCTTACTCCAAATTTCTTTCACCGGAAAGTCCACCCCTTGAGAACTAGGTAAAGCAAGATGCTTGAAAAAGGAGGAACAAGTGAAGAGTCCATTTGGAGAGATTACTCATATTCTAGAATCTTCCAAGTTTGGGTCTAGGAAAACTGACTCCAAAATGTTTAGTATGCCAATCAAAGAAGTACACTCACTTTCTCTTAGGCCTCTTCTGAAACCAAGGTTCAATTGAAACCTAAAGGAGAGGGTGTTCCCATTCTAGACACAATTTCACCCTTGAGGTTAGAGAGGGAAAAAAGTTCAGGAAATTGATCTTTTAGTGGTGTTTCCCCTATCCGAAGATCTTCCTAGAAAAGGATTTTGTCACCCCTTCCCACATCATACCAAATTAAACTACGAAAAGAAGGATATACCTCATGAATTACTTTCCAAGGAGAAGCTGAAGTTGAGTGAGGAGTAATTTTAGCATAAGCCATTACCCTCCAGACCATGAATGCTTACTATTATTACCTTGTGCCACAATCTGTCTCTTTCAAAAGGAAAGCTCCACAACCATTTTCCCAATAAAGTGGTGTTTCTAAGAGCAATGTTTCCTAATCCCAGGCCCCATTTCTCTTTTGGTTTACTAACCCGTTCCCATTTAACCAAATGGTCCTTTTTTTCTCTCCCAGTTCCCATAGAAAGTCCCCCATATATTTCTCTAATTGTCTTGCTACCCTAGTCAGGATGTGGAAGGTGGAAAGGAAGTAAACAGGTATATTTGCTAACCTAGCTCTGATAAAGGTGATTCTTCCTCCTAAAGAAATATAATTCCTTTTCTAGAGGGCTAGTTTCTTTGCAAACCATTCCACCACCGGCTTCTAGAACTAACAAACCTTGGGTTCCCCCCAAAGGTAAACCTGGGTAGGTTACAGGCCAATTCCTTATCTCACATCCCAACACCTCTGCTAATCTCAAAGTTCCCCTTCTTCCAAGTTAATTCCAACAATTCCATTTTTATTCCAATTGATCCTCAAAGTTGAGATTCCCACTGAGCTATCAATCAATAACTTCAAATTTCTCACCAATTCTAAGTCTACATCCTCACAAAACAGAATTGTCATCGACAAATTGAAGATGGGGTACAACTGCTTAATTTCTACCAATCTTCCAACCCCTAAACAATCCATGTACATTCGCATCCAAAATCATTCTACTTAAAACCTCTACCAGTAGGGTGAAAAGGAAGGAGGACAAAGGGTCCCCTTGTCTTATTCCTCTCTGATCCGGGAAGAAATATTTTTTCTACCCCATTAATAAGAATGAATAGTGAACTAAGCTAATACAACCTTCAATCCACAACCTCCACCTAGCTCCAAGCCCAAGCCTCTAGGATTTCTATCAGAAGCTTCCGGTCCACTAGATCATAGGCCTTTTTCTAGGTCCAATTTACACACCAAATCCTTCTCTTTACTGCCACATTAAGTAAATTCTTTTATCAATTTGCCCTATTCTACTCTCTTAAAAATATTTACTAATATACATCATTTTACTACTTTGAAAGATGTTTACTATTTTACTCAATTTAATGGAATTGACTCATTTAATCTATGATGGGCTTTTCTTACACAAATTTCTTAGTGTTATTAACCTGGGAACATGAAGATATAATTTGATAATAGTAGTAAATCCAAAGTACATGAAACCAATCATACATGATTAAATTAACAAACCCTTCAATACATCCACAATGAAATTCAATGAGAAGCTTCAGTAATTTATGGGAGACACTTTTATAAATTTAATAAATAAAATTAAGTTTTGATTGCCTAAGTAGAAGGCCATTACCCAATGTTGGTCTCAGCTGTTTGGGGTATTGAAAGGGGTGGTGGATACAAACCAAACCTTTGGAATTTGGCATTTTTTGCAATAAGTGGATGCTCCCAGACTCAAACCCATATGTTATCACGCTTGTCACCCAAGATTTTACCATTGCACCAAGAAATGGACCATATTTATCCCCTTGAAATCAATCCAACAATAAAGTACCTAGAATTACAGCCACCTAGGTACCATCTAGACAACTTGCCTAAAATACTTGCCATAAATCACAAAGTCAACCAAAACAAAAACAAAATACACAAAAAATGTCTTTCACATAACTATTAACTTCAACTCAACCATTAAGGATGTAACTTGGGAACCTAGACTAAAAGGGTTGCGTTGGGGTTAGGATTGAAAAATATGAATCCAACTTAACTTCAGGTTGATTTAGAGTTAAGGGCTTAAGGCCTCTGGCAACCCAACATGTTTATTAATATTTGTACAGGGTTCTTGGTTTAGTTCAGAGGCTGCTCCTTGGATTTTGGATTTGGATTTTTCCTGTAATCTTCTCATTGCCATCAGTAGATTTTTCTGTTTGGCCTCACCAATAGAAATATCCAGTATAATTTTTCCAAACCACAAATTATCTTCTTGTGGTTGTGACTTTCTATTATGTTTCTCTCATCATGGTGTTATCATCAAATCCTTGAACCTGTTTCTGCACAATAAGCGGTATCAGAGTTTATAGTTGTGCCTAACATGTGTCATAGGCATAAGTGCATAACTGATATTCATGTTAAATAAACTCTATTTACTCCACTGCATCTTGGTCAGTATTAAATTATTTTTCACAAGTTTCTTGAACTATTTACTTATAAAGTTTGTATGATACTTTTCATTATCATCCAGCCTTGTCCCAACTAAATGGGGTCAGCTTCAGCTACATAATCCCATTTCGCCATTCAGTTCTGTTCAGTGCCATATCGATCATTAATTGTATCATCCCTTTACTTATATTAATTCATTTTGAGCCTCCATATGTTACTGCACAAGTTAATTTTCACATTTGCATCTCAGAAAATTCTAGAATCATTCATTTATGATGAAATTACATACGCTTTTGAATAGAATGGTTTGTAAAGAAAGTAGTCAATACCAACAAAAAAAAGTAGAAATAAAAAGTTCAGAATTGCTTAGTGATTGAGAAATGCTGAAATAAGACAACAAGCCAACCAAGGAGATGAACAAAAACCAAGACAAGGAGGTCAAAGATGTAAATAGTCATAAGTAAAACCACTCACATGAATTACTAGAACTGGACAGTTCACCATGCCAACTTTGTCAATATTCTGGGAGAAAAAAGGGAGTCAGTTTCCATTTAACACAAAAGGGGCATGCTAGACAAAATTGAAGATGTGATATTACCTTGTAAATGTCAAACCAGTATGTCCGCTTTACAGGGTACAAAACTCGCAAACCAGAGAGAATAGGACTATGAAGAACAACAGCTCTCAAGTTCGGTAAACGTGAAGCAAGATCAAGAGTTGGGCCACTTCCAACTGACTGGCCATATAATATTAAATCTTCATCTTTTACCCCATACTGCTCCTTAAGGCATTTATGGGCTGCCTCTATGTCTGCATATGTATTAGATTCAGTGGGCTGTTTCAAAAAGGACAAAAATGAAAGTTATACTAAGAGAAGGGTCGAAGCATTGTGAGAACAGAAAATGCATTCTCATAATCTCATTCTAAGTGATTTAAAGACCAGATATCTAGATAAGAAAGAGGAACTACTAGATTAAACATGACCAAACAAAACCATATTTTATATGAACTAGGAAAGGAGTTCCAAGCATCTAACCTTGCCACTTGATTGTCCATAGCCAGAGTAGTCATATCTGCAAAAACCAGTTACTAGAGGTAAAGGACAAGAGTAACATATTTGAAATGATAAAATTGATTTAATAATAACTTTTTCACATAACAGAACATCCATGATCAAACAAGAAGATATATCATATATCATGTGTGTGAGGTTTGGACATGTTGTAATAACATTACAAAGAAAAATTGCAAAGTTTCTAAAATAAGAATGTCACATAAAATAAACACAGGATCTATACATATGGTAACAATTAGATCCATAACATTCTATTAAGCATATGTACTGCTTGAACAAACAAAAATATAGGTATTATAAACACTCAAATAAATAAGTGGCGCTAAATGACAAAACAGCAGAAAGGGCACATTGTTAGTAGTAACAAGAAATCCTAAAATGAAGGTCAAGTGCACATAATTGATAGAGGAAGAATTAATATTAGACAGAAAAAAGAAAAACTGGAAAACACATTAAATAGTATTTAATACTCCCTTTTAACTGGACCGGCAATATTAACAAGGAGCTACACTCTATCTGGTACAATTAGCAATCTATAATTAAAAGAAGAAACCACATTATGAGCATTAATCATCCTAGTGTAAATATTTGTTATGCCCAACTGAGAAGGAATAACTTAAACCATTTGTCTTCCTGGTGAAGTGTTGATATCAACAAATGCCTTAATGTCACAAACTTGCTTGATCAAGGTATACACCTAACATTCCTAGATATGAAAATGGATACACATAAAGGGAATGGAGAATAACTCCATTTATTTAAACCAGGAAAAGAGAAAATACAAATAACCCATCCAATGTATTGAATCTGCCAATACCATGTATTTTGCATTTATTTAGTTCAAGAACCTTTTCTCAACAGCTATTTCTTATCAAATTTAATAAAACCTTCTAACATTCAGCATTCACAATATTATTATTAAAATACATACCAATTATAAGTGTTCATAACGTAATACTCCAGAGTTTCCATGCAATATTGGGTGCCAGTGTCCATTACCATACCATGTCAATATGGACATACTAACCATATTTAGGTATGTTGCTATCAGAGGTGTACAATAGGACCCTGTCCCAATTACCAAACACCAAAATCCTCGCAATAAGTTACCAAAAGCACCATATAACAACAGGAAATTTGTGACTGAGGCCCCGAGTTAAACCCATAGGATCAATTCAATTCCTGTTAGCAGGTCAGTCACCCAAGAAGATATTTCCCTGGGGTTTGGTACACATTGGACCACCTCTTAGATTTAGATAACTTTTCAGATTTGTTTGTATTGACCAACCTGATGTGAACATCTAATCACCCTCAGGAGTATCTATTTAACAAGAGCATGTTTGGTAGCTTTTTCACCTGAGGTTGAAACACTGCCACATCAGCGCCACATAGATCATTTAACTTTAAAGTTCCAAAAGTGCATTCTATAGAGCAGATTCTACTTGAAACAGAAACACCATATTTTGCATCGGGTTTCCCACATAGGGGGAATTAGAAGAAATGACACAGCATTCCTGCTTCATTTTTCCTACTGGACACCTAATGATGTCTACATATTTGAAACAATAATAAAACATTTTACTCCAAGTTCTGTGCGAAAATGCCTCCCCAATTTCCAGTGCATCTTGAAACACCAGGATTCAAGCTAAGAAGCTTCAGCTTGAAACACCACAGTACCAAACAACATCCAAAACTATGGATATCAGGCCAAATTTTTTTCCATTAATAGAGGTTGAGGGGAGGAATGTAGAGACTCTTTTTGAGATCCAAATTAAGTTTCCACATGGAAGATTCCTAGGTTATTAAGCAAAGCTTGCTAAACAACCTGGCTGCCACATCCATTCCCTTGTGACAATGTGTACCGAAAGATCCCATCTGTCAGTCTCTCTGCTTAATAGAATCATTCTTCTTTGAGATAATGAAATCAGTGCCAAGTAAAACAATATATAAATGTCAATGAAAGGATAACTGATCGAGAATGTCTGATAATCTGAACAATCCAATAAAATAATAAGAGACCTTCAGTATAGCTTCCACTCAACAGTCTCTTGTATCAGTAGAACCATAGACCACCTTGTTGATATAAACCGTTTGCCACATAGGATTCCTTTTCTCCCATAGTAATAGAAAGAAAACCTTCAAAGATGTCTCCCCTTTGTCGCAGAAATAGTCCACCAAAATCCACCATTCCTGGAACTAAAATTATACACCTGACGGAACTTATTTAGCAAATTACCTGCTTCTACCATAGTTCATCAATTTCCACCGACTGTTATCAGGAAAAATAAAGTTAATCGCAGTATAAAAACTAATGATTGAACTCATTGGATTCAAAAACTAATTGGACATTCCAATGTACTTTACAGTGTACAATTGGGACTAGTTTATATTGACAGAAAATCGCCAGCCTAAAAGTCCACAAGGATCCAATATATGATTCACACGTATTTGTTAAATAGCAAATAACACAAATTAAAGTCCATTTTCTTGCCATAAATAGTTTCCAAATTATGAATTACCATAATACAACAGAACAAGAGGGATTAAAGATTTCAAAAGTAACCCTATTGCATCTGAGCATTGAATAACCAAAATTTTTATAAGGATTTACCAGAAGCTACAATGGAATCTTTCCGACCTAAAGCTTACTAAGACAACACAAGAACCAAAAAACAATAGAAATTACCCCATGAGATTGATGCGGAGACGAAGGCTAAGCTCGACGAAGAGCTCAAACATCTGGCCCAAATCAGCCGCGTTACCATGAGAATACAGGAGAGTCATAGTAGCCTTGGGATGCTTGACATAGATGGCCACGATTTCGTTGCCTCGTCTGGTTCGGAGCTGCAAGACATCAACGTCATCTCGCCTGGGGGCGTCCAGAATGAACAATCTGCCGCCGCAAGCTTCGTCGCCGATCACATGGTAAGACGGCGGGTTAGGAGGGAAGAAGGCAAATTTCGCGGCAATCGACGAGGTGACAACGCCCATCTTCTTCGCATCAGAAAAGTTGGATTCATAAAGCCACCGTGAGTTGATATTTAGATCTCTGTTATGGATCAGCGGGAGGTATTGAAACTCAGTGACTCGCGTCGAAGGGGGAAGAGAGCTTCGTGTCAAAACTCTACACTACGGGAAGGAAATATCAGGCTTTGAACGTCAGAAAGTTGTAGCATTCCTCTTTCCTCTTCTTATCCTATTGCTTCCGTGCGCAAGCGAGAGAGAGGGTGGGCGATGGCCGACGAGCCGACGAGCCGACGAGCCGACGATCATTGTTCGCTCAGCTTCCGCCTAGAAGCAATTAACAGAGACTGAAGGAACACTACTAATTCAGGTTTGTCGTTTTGACGGCGACCAGGCATGATGGGGACCCTAGGTGCGGTCTACAGAAAAAAAAGATAGGGGTAGGACCCACCATAGCTAATAATCTAGATACCATCTATAAAGATTATTGATTGGATAAGATGATCAAGACCGTCCGTAGGTAGTGATGGAGGGTGATTTGATTGGGAAAAGTGAAAAGAGGATCGTTAGAAGCGGTCAACCTTCAATCGTCAATCGTCAGATATGAGATATCTTTAGTTTTTGGTAGTACGTTCCTTCGATCCCAGTTGGTTGTGACAATCGTGGACTAACGTTGGATGGTTGCTGACCGTTAACGCCGTCACGATTTCGTAACGGCCGTTAATGACGAACGACGGTTATTACCGTTATTCACTATTTCACTCAGTATACTTACTATAACGTAACGTGACGCAGTGAAAGAAAAGAAAAATTTATGGGAATAGGAGAAAGTCAACGGAAGTTGATAGGTTGGGTTTCGGAACTCCTAAGCTAAGGTGGAGTTTGTTTTTGTTTTCCCAACAGAGTTATTAGTTGTAACATCATTAAGAATTTAAGATCTAAGAATGATCCCTAAATTTAATTAATCTAATCCTGGTAGTGCGTGAGCTGGATTGGTGGTTCATGGATGTACTCCTCCAGTCTCTGAAATCTGAACCTCGCTTTCGTAAAAAGGATGGGGCAAAATTCGTCTTGGTAAAGTGGAATCTAGAGTCCATAGGTCTCGGTCAGTGGAATCACAACTGTCAATGCACAGTCTTTCTTGGATCCCCAGCCCCAGGCCCATCCTAAGATAAGGCCCAAATTGCCAAGACTCGGGCCACAGTCCAGCCTAGTGGGGTTGGTCAGGTTATGGGCTTTCCTTGTAAACAGTAAAAAGAGGTGCTAATGATGTTACAGTTATACAGATAGATGAAAATTTCCAGATTGAGTGGGTGAAATCAAGAGTCTCTTTCAAGTTTGAACACAAAGCGAGGCACAGTGGTGCCACCTTTGGGCTTTGGTGGGGGAGCAATGGAGGACACTTGGAGTATGTGTATTTGCTGGGCTAAATTATCAAAGGTGGCATTGTGAATGACACCCAGATTTTCATTTCAAGGTGTTCCAAAAAAGGTGTTGATGATGGATTGATGGACCAAGGAGTTTTGAACACTTGGGGTATCCAATTGCCCATCACACAGTAGCAACCACCACCAACTCCATTCAGGTGGGCTATGGCTGCTGCATATTGCTAGGAATGGGTGGAATTATTGGCGGAGATGGAGGAGTGTTTGGAAGTGGAGGCCTTCATGAGATGAGAATCAATGAAATCAGGCTGTCTTGTTTTGAACAAAGTAATGTTGAGTTGTTCTCCAAAAGCTTAGAGCATTGTTATTTACAGACTATATATATACTTATCTATCAAAAAAAAAAAAACAGACTATATATATATATACTTTGTTCATGTTTGAAGAGAGAGATCGATTGACCGGATTTTCTTTTTTTTTTTTTTACCAAAACCCTATTGGGTTTATACTTACTTTGTCTCTTGTACAGTCTTCCCCTGGGCCCTGGCTTATAAGAAGGTTAGTAGTAGCTGCATATCCCGGGTCCCCAACTTATATACTAAAATAAATAAAACTTTTGAATAACTAATGACACCCGAAGGGAAAAGCCAAATAAAAAGGGTATATGAACGATGCAGAGTAGGGAGTTGAACTAAAAGGGCACATGGTCCGGGTTGAGCTTATATGTACTCGAGACCCCACCCCAATTTTGAGGCCTGTTTGTCAATGGTCTAAAAGCTGAACCTAATTTGTAGGGCTGTTCATAAGAAGACCCAATTTGTAGTACTTAATTCCTAGTTAGTAGTTACAACCTACTTAGTTCCTACTTAACTAAGTTGTCTCTATCCTAGTTACAACCTAACTTAATTTCTAGTCTTCTAGTTATGAATGACATTAATGGCAACTATTATAAGACAACTAGACAAGGAATTTTTTTGGAAAAGTTTAAAGAAAAGAATCAAAGGATCATAGTTTTTATAGTCTTTTACACCAAATAGGCAACCAATTACAATTAGAATTAGGTGTCCTTTTTCACTTAGATTAGAAGGTTTCTTGAAATATACAAATTTCAATCTTCTTTCTCTAATACAGTTTGCCTTTATATTTTCTTGATAACTTCTATTCTAACTTGGTCTGCCCCCCTACCAATTTCAGTCTTCTTTCTCTAATAGAATTAGGTGTCCTTTTTTACATCAAATTTCAGTCTTCTTTCTCCAATCTACCAATTTATTACCATGGTTGAACTTAGAGCCAAAACTGACCCAAAACCGACTTGCTTAACACATGATCGATTTCGGTTTCAATTTCAGGTAACCCGACCAGGTCGAGTCGTTTGGAAAAATTTCAGTAAACCGACCCAACCCGACCCGTGAGCAGCCCTACCAATTTGTTTGGCCCGAAAGGCTAAGGTAAGCCCAATAGACCATGGCTAATGATTTGTCATATGTTAGAAATTTGAATTCCCCGTCCACATTCCACATGTCTTGTCCTAACTATATCAATTAAATGAGAGTTCGCATTCTATGCACCCGTGGGTGTACTAGGCGCGTTAACCCGTCAATCAGATTCGACCACGTCGACCATCCAAATGTTATCGGTCAAACACGCGTTAATTTTCGACAGTTCAACCAAACACGAACCGAAGCCAACATGAGCCACTGACAACAAAAGGCCTGTAAACCTCATACTATGAGATTTTTGAATGATTTTCCCCTGGAGCTTTCCTCCTTCCACAGAACCCTACCCACACACCGAACCCTTCCTCCATCGGCGGCAACAAGGAGAGCTCCACTAGTTTGTTTCTAACCTCCTCTTCTCTTCTTCTTCTCCTCTTCTCTTCTTCTTCTTCTTCTTCTTCTTCTTCTTCTTCTTCTTCTTCTTCTTCTTCTTCTTCTTATCCTTCTTCTTCTTCTGTTCTATTTTCAACAGAAACAACCCACCTGGAAGGAAGACCAGCAAGAGCAGTAGCCACTCACCTGGACAACCACCTGTGGGAATAGCTCCAATCTGAAGTTTTTTTCTTCATGCTATTTGAATGCTTTGGATGTATCTTAGAATCAAAGAAATGCTCTGATTTAGGTGATAAACTTTTGATTTGAGAAAGGGTTGATTAGGGCAATATTGTATGTGATAAATTTAGGGCAATATTGTAAGTTTGATTTAGGTGATAAATTTTCAACAGAGCTCTGTAATAAAAAATGACAACTTTAGCAGCTTAGGGCAATATTGTAAGAGAAATCTCAACATTTCATGGAAGCAAAAAATTTTCATATGTTGCATTCAAGAGTTCATATGTGCATCATAAGTCACTCTTCTTCACTGAGTTTACAGGAAAGAAGGAGGAGGAAGAGCAATAGCTTATCATTGATCACCAGTTGATCCTTTGCCGCCATCATTGGTTGGTGTTAGTTACCGATGATCTAGTAACAGGGCTAGGTTCGGAAGACAAAGGGGGTTTGAGTCGAGTTCTAACATGAGAGGAAGGGTCAAATCGTGCTTTGTGGCCAGTTGAACCAGCCGAACCACTGATAATGGAGAAAGTCTCCATTAATTCATGATTAAGACTGATGAAATGATGTATTTGCCTCTCATTGCGGATGCACTCATCCACTGCACCTAGCGGACTCACTAAGGCTATATTTGATTTGAAGGAAAAGGTAGGAAAAGGAAGAAAAATGTATGAAAACCAATACATTGTTATTTTTCACTATTTCAATCCATGTCCTTTCTAGTCTGTCCCTATCTCCTCTAACCCCTTCAATTTGTAAAGAATTACTTGGTTGAGTACTGCATCCATTGTTAAGCTATGGGCCTTAAATCATTTCGCACTACTTAAATTCATGTAAGGTCATCTGAAAGTGTGATGCAATGGAAATTATTCAAATTAGGAACACCATGTACCCAATCCCCCTGTGTCTCATGGTGGTTTTACATGGCCAATTAAACGATTCTAGACTATTTTAATTGAATTGAAAAGGAAATTTTGGAAATTTAAAGGCTTTGATTGGACAAGAATGTCCACATCTAAGGCAATCAAGTTATAGTGGAATGATAAACCAAGTGTAGGATGTTAATGGGATTCTTTCAGAAAAAGCTAGACCCGCAGTCATCCATCAGGTTTCAACAAATGCAGAGAATAAATGTTGTCTTAATTGGTGTTGAAATATCCTAGTTTGCTCAAATGGGCAATATTAATTATCCCCTCATATTGCTGCTTATCGGAACCGCAAATTCATACCTAGTACTTATTCTGATTATATGTAGTATTGTAGAAACAATGCTTCTCATAATTTATTCTCCTCTATTGCCCTCTTTCTTTGAAACATGTAGTGTTCTTTCTTCTTGTCTCAGTCTCACACCATGTCATACGGATGCCAAATTACTGTTCGGACTGTAACAAAGTGATCTTCAATTTGTTATTTCTGTGCATACCGACCACTAATCAATGAACCACTTGTGCCTAATATTTTTTTTTTTTGTGATTAAACAAACTGTTGTCCAACCATGTTGAAGTCTTAACTGAATGTAACAGACAGTTGTAGTTTGTTAGACAACTGTCAAGAAGTTAGATGGACAGTTGTAGTTTGTTGGACAGTTAAATAGAATTACCAATATCTCATCGCAGATGGATCTCATCACATATGAGTTTTATCGCAAACTGTACATTTGTCTATATATACTTATTCATCTCAAGTCAATAAATTCATCCTTTTTTCTTGGCCCATTTCTTTTTTTTCACATGGTATCAGAGCTCCAGAGTGTAAACTTGGTTCTCCATTCTTGACCGACAACCTTTTTTTGTCTTTCTCACCTGTAGTCAACCGACAACCTTTTTCTTTCTTGTTTTTCTCACCTATGGTCAGAGATGACTACAGAATTGGGTTACGGTAGTGATAACAACTCATTCACAGATCCATCGTCACTGTATTTCCTCCA